TTAGATCATGCATCTACAACTACCACTTACTAACTCTGTTCCTTTGGGCAGGTTAGGTAACCTTTGTGTACCAAATTTCTCATCCGATCAATGGGACAAAAAATTAGCACGTATAGATCCTCTGAGAATCAATGTTGCTTCTAGATCACTAATAATGGTGAGACAAAAAGTCAGAAGGTTTGATTGCTCACTGGAAGGAGATGTATGGATCAGAAGTTCTTGCTGCAGGACTGCTAAACAAATTCATTTGATATTTAAAAATGAAAGAATAAAAGAAATTCAAAATGAGAAATTTCTCATTTTGGTTTGACTCTGCAACTCAGATGAGTAATTTAAACCAATTTAACATCTGGCCCAGATGAACCATTTAAGCCAATTCAACATCTGGTAAAGAATCTAGAATCTGGAATCAAAGAATGATTCTAAACCTAGGCACACAGATTATTCTTGGCCAATACCTGCTGATGAGACAGAAGCATAAAAGATGTCACTCAGATATCTAGGAATGGATGAGGCAGTGCTTGAGCCAAACTCTTATGCTTCAAGGAGGCAGAGCCAGGCATAGGGACACTTGTTTCTGTAATGAAAGGTTCTTATATCTCTCAGTTGTCATGTCTACGCCTCATGGAGGGAATGCATTCATTCATGCATTCATTCATTCACTAAATATGCATATGTTAAGGGTTTTCCAAGTGGAAAGTACTATGCTTTGGTTGCTGTGATATGAGGATGAAATGACACAGTGCTTTCTCTCCAAGAGTTTACAGACTAGTAAATAAGACAAAGTTGCACACACAAAACTGGACATTTACAGTAATGGATGCCAGTATGAGACATAGTGGGAACAAAGTAGTAGAAGGAGTGCATAAATGAACAGGAAAGATGCCCAGAAGAGAGGGCACCAGATCGAAAATTTGATAGATAATCAAGAGTTCATCTAATAGATAAGAGGAACTGAGCAGAGAGAGGCCGGAAACAGAAATCAGGTTGTTATTGCCTTTCAGGACAGCTGGGATGCTGGAGCCAAGAACAGACCTGGAACAAAGTTAATACTATTTTTATAAGCTAGAAAAATATCAGCAGCAGGAGCCCTGGCCAGAACCACCCCCACGAAGAGCAAACAAAGCTACTCCTATCTTCTGCCTGTCTGCTGGAGAAGTTACTAACCAGCACCTTAAGAACAAAATGTTCTATTTTCTTTGATTTTTTTATTCTCATAAAGTCCTTCTTCCTCTTGTCCAGAATTGGAAAAAGCCTGAGTGGAGTTTTACTTGCTTCCTTGATCTTTATCCTCCCATCCCAGGCTTCCTTGAGGATAAAAGTCCAAGAGGATTTCTCCAAAGCAGACCCCTCCCACTATCAGAATGTGGGGTCTGAGGTAGGTCATGCCAGTTCAGCGTTTGAAGCCACCATCAGTGTCAGGTCTTGTCTGTGTGAAGCCTGGATGGCATCCAATTCTGACCTCCATTGCTGGCTTCTTAATCTGGCACTGGACAATCTTTTACATGGCCTCATTTGACCATAAACTCAGGTTGTTTCTGACCTCAACAGCATCTTACAGCAGTAGATACAGCATTTTACAGTAGATACTGCTTTCTGTTATGGAGAGACCTGGGAAAGGAAAATAAGGCAGATTCAGGGAAGGGTGATGAGTACAGAAGTCTGGGTTCTCGCCTATCCAAAGGGAAGATAGTTCTCCTGGAACACTTCTCAGAGAACTTCCACACATAAAGCTCCTACTGTGTGTCAAGCATTGTGACTCCAGGAAACCAAAGACCCCTCATTACCGTGTATCCACTCTGGGCCAGGCACTATTCCAACTACTTTATCTACATGCATCTCAGTTCTCATCACAAATCTGTGAGGAGGCATTTCTCTCTCAACACAGTAGAGGAAGTGTAAGTGCAAGGAGGTGTAAGGTGCAGCTTGCGAGAATAGGAGTTTAGACTTATCTTCAGACTCCATGTTCCTTATTATAGCATCATAACATGTCTCAGGGATAAGTTGCCTCAAATGCATATCATATACTATTAAATTACAAACATGCAGACCAGGAAAGAAGGACTAGAACTTTCCCTCCAGAATAAGTGCAGTTGTGTTCTGTTCATTGCTGTTAACTCCTTGTGTAGACCTGTAACTGCCAGGTTTGCAAATACTTAATACACATCTTTAGTGACAACATAGTTGGAGGGGTGGATGGTTGGTCTTCTCAAGATTTTCAAGCCTTTGTTTTATACCACCTAGATGGTGTGAGAAAAGTGATGGAATATTTATTTCCAGGCCTCTTCTTTTGCTTACATACCCTAATCCTGATTGGCTATAAGGTGAAGGAGAGAAGAGGAGAGAGAAGGTATGAAAGGATTAAAACTGTGAAGTAGGTTTTTATTGCCCCACAGGGAGAATTCCCTTCCTGTCCCTTCTTAGCCACTGCACACCCCTAAACACTGTCTTTTAAAGAATCCTAGGTACTTGAGTAAGGAGGGGGAAGAAGAAAAGGTACAAACTTCCAGTTACAAATAAGCAAGTCAGGAGGAGGTACTGTACAGCACAGTGACTGCTACAGCTAATAACACATTAAAAAAAAACAAAAACAAAAAACCAAGGTCCTTATTCTATCTTTCCACCTAAAGAACTTACTTTTGGAAAATACAAAGGAAACTCACTTACTTAAGAACATTTGTATTTTGAGGGGAACAAAAGGTCTCAGCCAAAGCTTCTATGGGTACAATTTCTGTCACTGATTATCTCCGATTGAGGAAAAGAAGATCATTTAATGGCCTGGATTCCTCCCAGGGGATTCAACCAACCCTCCCCAAGCATCTACAAGTACCAAGTGCCATTCAGAAAATAATTTCCCCTCTGGAGGGCACAGTGAGTCTCAGGAGAAGTGAAAAGACATGTTTTGGTGCACCTGTGAAATGGACAAGGACACCAAAGAGCAGGAAGCTCCTGGGTGCAGACCCTTTGTTCCTGCCCGTGGTCGTCCAAGCCCAATGCTCGTCACCTGGGTAAGGGTGGCTGGCTGAGACTTTCACCCAAAGCAAATGAAGACATATAACAAGGAAAGCTCCCCTTTTTCTGAGATACATGGCTCTGAGACACAGTCTCAACATGATATAGAATGGGAACAGAAACACTCCATACCAGTCTAGCCCACAAGCCTTCTTTGTGCTTGTTCTTAAAACCAAAATTATGACACCCCAATCAAAAGCACATAGCACATGTATTGAATAGGGAAACACAGACCGCAATGGTAATGAGCATTATGTAGCATCCAGCTAACCCATGTGGATTATGGCTGTTTACTATTTCTCAGGTTGTGTGTTACACCAGAACACATAAGATGAATAAGGCAGCATGTTGAGAGGTCCATGAGAGCTAGCCAGCTCTGAGAGTCCATGGATTTCATAGAAGAACTATATACACCTCAATTATCTGTACCATAAGAAAACAATGTTCCCTCCATAAGTTAAGGACATTTTACCTTATTCTTTTTAAAAAAAATATATATATTTTATTATTTATTTATATAAGAACTGGGGTACAGGCCAGATGTACGGGAGGGTGAGAGGATTCACCAGAGATAAAGCAGGGAACTGAATGGGCAGACTGATAGAAATACACTGCTGAGGGGAGCAGCAGGGGAGACAGGAGAGGTCTGCCCCGCCATGTGGGTTGCCCCATGGCTGGTGGGGATCGAACTGTCACTGCAGAGGCTGCAGACAGCTTCACAGCGCAGTGCTCAACTGCCTGTGCTACCAGGGAGGCCCTTACCTTATTCTTAACATTGCTTTATTCCTTTAATAAATTTATCATACACTTATAAGAATCAGTCATAGAGCTCAACACAAGTGGTCCATCATTACAGGACACGAAATAATACAATTTCCTGCCCTGGAGGAATTCATAGACTAGTAGAAAAGAAAAACAGAAATATTGATAAAGCACAATGTGATCATTCTTCAATAGGGGTAGGTGACAGTGCTAAAAGACGTACAATTTGGAGAATTTTTAAATAAATTTGAGTGTTCCATGAAAGGTTATGCAGGGTTGCAGCAGTCATTTCCCAGCTGGAGAGATAGAGGACCACCATTCTGGACATGTGAAAGTATGTGGAGGTCTGAGTATGTGGAAAGAGTTCTGGGAATACAATTCAAGTTAAGTTTTGAAAGATAATGGTAGGAGGATGGCGTATATCTATAATGTAATATAATATGTAATATGCTGTATGGACTAGGATATCTTTCAAAGTGTTTGACTATGCTCCACAGAAAAAAATCCTTTTCTTATATACGCCAGTATAGAAAGGCATAAACACATAAAAATATAAGTTCCACAAAACAGTCCTTACTCTGTATGTGAGATATACTATGATGTTATACTATAATGCTTTCTATTCTGGTTTATTCTATTATGAAAATAGACTTAATAAATCAATCTCATATAGTATGAACTGTAATTTTTTTTAAAAAATTTAGAAAGAAAGGTTAGGAGAAAAGACATGGGTAAAGTTAAAGTGAGAAATATTTGAAAATATAAACAAGCATACACAAAAAAAACAACCCTACAACAAGAAGGAGAGTCATCATACTTTATTATAGCTACTGAAATTCTTGTCTCATTTTCTGTCCTATTAAAACTTGGACTTTGGTGTACCTTTAGAAAAAATAGTACTGATAAGTATTTCATAGGCATACATGCTAGTTGGAAGTTAATGTATCTGTTTCAAATTTTCAGTAAACCAAAGAATCATCCTGGTATTTATTCAGATCAATATTTTCTATTATTCTGTATGAAAATCTAATGCAATTATAGATTTTATATTTGATGAACAGTTCTACAATTCTATCTAAATGCCTAGCTAAAAAAAGGCATTTCATCACTATGTCTTGAATCACCAGCCCTTCAGCTTTGCTTTAAAAACAGAAAAGGAGTGTCTCAGGTGGTGGGGAATATTCTATTTGAGCAGTGTTAGTGGTGAATATGGAGTAAACGGTTACCTAGTCCTCCTGCATGGGCATCAATAAGGGAGGCAGACACTGCAATTCCAGCAGGGAGGCCAAGGTCTTTCGCTGCCTCTGGTGTAAGCCCATTTCCAAGGGAAGCTCCAGGAGGCAGCACTTGGTTTCCTGGGTAGACATGAAAAAAAATAAACACCTGTCAGTTTGAAAAACACAAAAGCAAACAGCAGGTTTTCTTATGAGAAACTCTGTTCTGTCCCCTTGCCTCTGTATTTTCTCAATCAGGGAGATAGAAACCATGCAGTCACAAAGAGTCCCTGTGCTCATCTGGTGACTTAGGTACATGTCCTGGATCCCAAAGGTCATTCTCTGGAGTGCCTGACACAGCCAAGAGTTCTAAGGCAACTTTCAAACTGGAGAAAGATTCCATTCACAGGAAACTGCAAAAGATATAAATACATAGGCCTCTTGAAGCCTAGGTTAAAACAGTTAAACTGTTCCAAGTGGACTTCCTAAAAGTGCAGTTCTTCAGCAACCTTGCACACATACATGCACAAACACGTACAGGAGCACACACACATATTCACACATCCATATGTACTACCTGATAAACATATATTCCTAAAGAAGTGAGAAAATTTACTTGTGTAGTTGCTTCCTGTCAAAGGATAAAGGAGGGGATTATTTTGGTCCAATAAAGAATTTCTTAAAAGTTTTTCTCAATTGGGAAAGAGAGCTCAGTGTAAGCCTGGTAAACTTTACAAGGCTTCTACTTGCACAACCATAGACTACAATTTGAATGGTGTTCATTGGAGTTGTGCAATGCAGTGACCCTGATATTTCAAGTGACCTTGAATTCCTGCAGTCAGTCAGGCCTTCAGTTAAGAATTTATTGATTGTCTTGCTTTGTGTGGGCGCTGTGATGCTGTAAAAGGCAGACCTTGCCTCCAACCTAGTTACAGACATGAGAGCAATACACAGAGAAGCTTAAAGTTAGAAGAGAATAAAGTAATCCATTTGTTACCAGGTATACAGCAGAGGCTGAGTCCTCCCCATTGCACTTCCCAGGGAATGGGTGAGTATCTCCACACTGCAAGAAGGTGGGAAGGTGGGGTGGACCCATATGTGTGCTCAGATCCCTCTGAGCTCCAAGATTCTAAGATTTTGAGTGTGTGGTCAGCAATCTGCACAGTCCCGAGATACCTGTCACTTGTTATTTGTTCCCTGGAGTTTCAGAAGTAGGCAGAGATACTTCAAGACTTCTAGGGGTGGAGGTGAGGGTAGAGGTGAGAGTGGACGTTAGAGGGAGCAGGTGGTAAATTGCTCAACTAACTTCCTCTAAATGGAAACAAAGCACCTCTACAATACCATTTTTCTCCATTTTATATAACGAGCTTCTTCCTGTATTTTGAATTTGAAAAGAGCTTAGCTAAGAAAAGGAAGATGGACACCAGTGCAATGGTTTCAGAGCTTTCTTGTCCAATATAGTGGCTGCTATGCCAATGTGGATTGAACACCTGAAATGTGGTCCAAGTAATTAAATACTAAAATTTTTCTTTTGGGCCTCCCCGGTGGCACAGCGGTTGAGCGCTAGGCTGCAAAGCTGTCTGCAGCCTCTGAGCGCCGGTTCCATCCCCAGCTGCCGGTGAGGGTCCTACATGGCGCACAGACCTCTCCTGCCTCTCCGCCCGCTGCTCCCCTCAGCAGTGTACTTCATCAATCTATCTGTTCTGCTCCCCACTCTGGCTCTGGTAAATTCTCTCACCCTCCCGTGCTTCTGACTGTACCCAGTGCTTGTATAAATAAATCTTAAAAAATAAAATAAAATAAATTTTTCTTTTATATAATTTTAATTCCTTTCCATTTCAACTTAAAAATTGATACTCAATTCAGTTACTGAAAACTTTTAAGCATAGTTAGAACAAATCTACCCTTGTAATGTTAATTTAAAAATCTAACACCTAATTTCAAAATCTAACATTTACAATTAAAATGTAGGGCCTAAATTGAGATTACTAATTGGAAAACACACAATAGAGGTCAAAGATTTCATATGGATAATGAATGTAAAATAGATCAGTGTTTTTTATCGATGCTGAAATGATATTTTGGACATATCAGATTAAACATATTAAAATTAACTTCAATCATTTCCTTATGTTTTAACACAGCTACTAGAAATTTTTTGGTTGATAGTTTATTTCATTTATTTATTTTTTATTTTTTTAAAATTTACATCATTTTTCATTTTTGTACAATGTATGCATTTTCATCTTGGCTATAGTCCCTGAAAAATTCCCACCACCATTGTTTTGATCCTACTCCCTTCTCCCCACTGCCTGCAGTGTGTCTCTGGTTTATAGTTGCCTGTTGATTTTGATTTTTACTTTATTATAATTAGTCTTTTTCCTGATCCCTTATTTGGGTTTTCTAAATTCCTGTTATGAGTGAGACCATCCGGTATTTTTCTTTTTCTTTCTTGCTTATTTCACTGAGCATGATCCCTTCCAGCTCCATCCATGTTGCTACAAATGGCATGAGTTTATCTTTCTTGATTGCAGAGTAATATTCCATTGTGTATATGTGCCACATCTTCTTGATCCAGTCATCTATTTTTGGGCATTTGGGTTGCTTCTATAGCTTACCTATTGTAAATAGTGCTGCAATAAACATAGGGGTGCAGGTATCCTTTTGAATTAATGTTTTTGTGTCCTGGGTAGATACCTAGTAGTGGAATTGCTGGATCATATGGAGCTCCATTTTTAGCAGATTGAGAAACCTCCACATATCTTTCCACAGTGGTTGGAGAGTTCCTTTTTCTCCGCATCCTCGTCAATATTTGTTGTTGTGAGTTTTTTTAAAGGAAAAGATAAACAGCTGCGACTACATCAAATTAAAGAGCTTCTGTACAGCAAAACAGACAGTGACCAAAACAAAGGGAAACCCCACTGATTGGGCGAAAATTTTTGCACACAACACTAATGTAAAGGACTGATCACAAACATCTACAAAAAGCTGATGAGACTCAACAAAAACAAAGTAAAATACCCAGTCAAAAAATGGGGAGAAGAGCTAAAAAGAAACTTCTCCAAAGAGGAAATTCAAATGGCCAACGTGCATATGAAAAAAAGTTCAACATCACTTGTAAGCAGGGAAATGCAAATCAAAACTACAATGAGATACCACCTTACATCAGTGAGACTGGCACATATTAAAAAAAAAAAAAAAAAAAAAAAAAACTAGCTACTAGAAATTTTTAATCTATGTAAGAGGCTCAAATATTTCTATTGAACAGTAGTGATGGTTAAGATTAAGTAGTAGTGGTTAGTGGATAAGATTAAGATGCTCAAATGATGGGGAGAAGAAAGGAGTACCTCTGATGTACTTTGAACGTGAAAACCTGCAGAAACCGCAAGGAGAGATGAGCCATTGTTTGTGGAGCGCTAGGCTGTGGACATCATCTTAACTATGTCCCTATGTCTAGTATAGCACATAGTAGGTTGCATTCCCATTCTAGGCCAGGGACTGTGCTATGGACATATTTCACATATTTTCTCAGTTCAGTATCAAAAAAAAAAGAACACTGTATGAGGAGTAGTATTACCTTCTCCAATGCACAGACAGATCGAGAAAGTTAAGTTTATAAGGGGAAAGTAAATTCCATACAGCTCAACTGTTGAAGCACATGCCCGGGATTCCACCCTAACTGGCACCAAAGTTTGTGTTCTTATTCATTATATTGCATTTTGGTGCAGCTACTTTAAAACATTCTTTTAGGTAAAAGAAGGGAATCAAGATAAGTGTTCTAGAAAAAATATTACATATGTTTAAAAAGTAGCACCATTTGGAAATCAGGTCCACTAAATTCAAGATTTTTTTAAAGGGTTAATTTTAATAAGAATGTCAAAGTGGATACACAGTTTCACTTTTATCTCCACTTTTATCTTCAAAACTTAGAGGGTACAATTTTCATTAAAAAGGTACAGGACAGGGGCCTCCCTGGTGTTGCAAGGGTTTAAGACGCAACCTATGAAGCTATCCATAGCCACTGCAGCATGAGTTTGATCCCCGGGCAGAGAGATGACCCACATGGCACAGCAGACCTCTCCTGACTTGCCCACTGCTCCTCTCAGCAGTGTATTTCAGTCAGTCTGCCTGTTCTGCTCCCCACTCTGTCTCTGGTGAATCCTCTCACTCCCCACACCTTTGGCCTATACTCTAGTTCTTGTATGCATAAATAAATAAATCTTTAAGAAAAATAAAAGCAGTGCTTAAAAACAAAAAGGTTCAGGGCAGAAAAAGGATGAGCAGGCTGGGATACTCTTCCAAATCATCTGGAGTAGGTGCAAAGAAAGAGCAGGGCTTGCAGTCAGGAGATCTGACTTCCAATCAGAGGCTGGAAGACCACACACAGGAGCATTTCTCTGCAGAGGTAGCATCTTGAACAAAGCAAAGGCCCTGCAGAGACGGGAGACTGCAGAAGGGCCCATTACACTGAAACATGATGGGTGGACCCTGTCACAGGGGAGGCAGGTACAAATATGATTACAAAGGAAAGTAGGGACAGAGGCTGCATTGTAATCCAGACTGAGGTGTTTGAATTTAATCACAGGCCACCATTGAGCCAGGACATGAGGTGACTATATTTGTGTATTTTAAAAGATCTCTCTGGCAGCACAGTAGCAGTAGACAGAATGGGGTTAGGAAAAACAGTTGTGAAACTATTAAGTACCCAAAGAGAAAAGATGAGGGCCTTCATTAAGTAATTGGCAACTGAGATAAAGACATAGAGGTGGATACGAAAGATTTTATGGAGCAAGAGATGGCAGGTTATGGTGGTTGCCTGGGTAGGGCAGCAGGGTACATACAGAGATGTTTCAACCTGGATCCCCATTAAGGCCAGACTTGCTGCCCAGGAAGGGGAATGAGGTTAGCAGAGAGTCTGCAGCCACCAGCATCTGCAGGCCATTGTGCCCAGAGGATCCCTTTCCCAGGGCAGTCACACGTGGTAACTTAGTGACTTGGGAGCAGAAGGCTTGGAGTGTCCACTCACTCCTGCTGGGACATTAGGGTGCTCTAAAACTGCACCTGCATCATAGTTCAACTTCTCCCAGACCTACTCCCAGACCCTTTATTTCACAGATAGCACAGATATTTCACCTCTAATA